CAAGTGTTTGTAAAAATATTTTCATTCTCGCTTTCTAAAACTGATAGTCTTCTCCTTCAAATAGTGGTGGTCCGTTTATTGAGGCTCCTTCCCTATAAACCTGATTACGCATAGACATCTTGACGAGATCATTTAGAAATATCTTATCTAACCAAGCTTCGATACCACTTGTTAGACAAATGACATCTAGAAAGGAGTGAATATATGCACAAATTAAAATAGATGCCAAATTAAAAATTTATTTTAAGATGTCTAGTATTTATTAATTTAATTTTAATTATCAAATTGAACAAAGATAAAACGGAAGTGATATAATCAGAGAGATAAAATATCAATAAGATACAAAAAAATAGAGATAGAAATAAGGGGCGTAAAGAGAGTAATGCAGTGAAAAAGAGATAAGGGAAAGAGAAGAGTATACAGTGATTTATACTCGTTCGGGTATAGCCAACCCTACATCTAGTTCTCAGTCAACTCTTAACACAAGAGTGACCCCAATTCACTATCTTTTAAATTTAGTTCACAAATTACAATCAACTCAACAAAAAGTAAACTAATTCAAAAGACAATCACCTCCTTAGAAACACACTAAGGATGAACACCTCTCTAGAATCCCACTAGGGATGAACACCTCCTCTGAACAAATCAAAGGATGAACACACCTCCTTAGAATCTCACTAAGGATGAACACCTCCCTAGAATCCCACTAGGGATGAACACCTCCTCTGAACAAATCAAAGGATGAAAACACCTCCCTGAACAAATCAAAGGGATGAACAATTTCCACACAGGAAACAAAAAAAAAAATACAACAGAATGACAGTGACTACTTAAACCCTAAACAAGGAATTTAACTATCAACCACTTAAGCCCACAAAGGATGAAGGTAATAAAACAAGAACAGTCGCACTTGGGTAATGGAGACAACAAATTGTAGAAGCTTGTAGAATATCAACCTCCAAGAACAAGTGTGATTAACAATGAAAGCACAATAGACAATGGAGAAGAGGGTTTTCGTAAAATATCTCTGTGCAAATGGAGAAAAGTGTTTTCTCAAAACATGTAAAATATCTCTGTTGCCTTGCTCAGAATTCTTTTTTCAAAACTGATTGAATGTAAATTGTATTTTCAAATTTTGTAATTGTATGTTTTTTATTTTCCATCAAAACTTAATTAAATAGAAAAATAGCATTAAAAAATAGTCATTGGTCATTAATAATTTTATAGAGATAAATCGGGGTGTATTCAAAAACATTTATTCTTTAAAATAGATATATTTTTCAAATTTGAACTGTCATAATTGATTATGTTACCGGTATAATCAATTATGACAGAGAGAAAATTGTTTTTCCCTTTCTGATGCATCATAATTTATTATGACAGTGAAAAATGTTATGTTACAAAATTTTATCACATTTGTGCTTTGGAGGCTTATGCATAATATTACTTCATCAACTTGTACCTCCATATCCAGTATTCTAAGACTCTATCTAGTCTTCAGGAATCATCTTGGGCTTGCTTGAATCTTGAATGTTGTTGACTTGAATCATCATCAAAATCATCTCTTGAGAATGTAGGGACATATTTCACATTACTATCAATCTCCTTCTCATTGCTTTCAATAACATCATTAGGGTCCATTACCATATCCACAGTATTATTCATTTTGGAAGTCTAGTCTATCATGGTTTTGTCCTTAGAAGATGCCTCGGTGGGTTTAAGAGAAAATAGTCTATATAAACTATCCTTGACCTCAACTATTAAGCGATGTGAGACTAATGAGTGTATACCAGAACATATTCTCTCGATCAAGGACTAGGGTAAGAGTGGAGCGAGATTCTGCTTTTGGTCCATGGTGGGCACCAATGTTCAGTTTAGGAATGGATAGTGTCCCAACCTCATGTCCACTATGATAACATCATTAGGATCTATTATCACATCCAAGATATTGTTTGTTTTGAAACTTTAGTCTGTCACTGCTTTATCCTTAAAAGGCGTCTCAATTGATTTAAGGGAGGAGGTTGTATAACTACCCTTAACTTTGACTCTAAGCGATGTGGGACTTATGAATATATATTGAAATATAGCCTCCCTAATCGAGGACTAAAAGGTATGAGTTGAGCAAAATTTGCTCTTGGTCCCACAATAGGGGTCAATGTTTCGTCTAGGAATGGATAATGTCTTGACATCATGTCCACTATGATAATGTCATTAGGGTTCATTATCATGTTTGAGGTATTATTTGTTTTGGAACTCTAGTTTGTCACGATTTTGTTCTTAAAATGTGTCTCAATGGATTTAAGAGAGAAGGGTGTATACAAACTACCCTTAGTTTCGATTCCCAAATGATGTGGAACTTATGAGTGTATACTAGAACATAACCCTCAAGTCAAGACTAAGGGATAGAAGTGGAGTGGGATTTTGCTTTTAATCCTATAGTAGGCACCAATGCTACGTGCAAGAATAGATAATGTCCTGGTTTAATGTCAATTATGATAACATCATTAAGGTTTATTACCCAATCTGAGGTATTGTCCATTTTGAAACTCTAGTTTGTCATGTTTTTATTCTTAAAAGGCGTCTTGGTGGATTTAATAGAGGATGCGTACAAACTACCCTTGATCTCGACTTCTAATTCCAAATTTGTTCAAATTTGTTGATTTGGAAACAATCTAACTTTTCCACTTGACTTCTAGTGAGTTCGTTACAATTCTGAATCAAATCTAAGAAGATCTTACCATGTTTATATTGCGATCATCCCTCTTTTCAATAACTTTATTATCATATTTTTGGTAGTGGATCGATTATCTAAGTATAGTCATTTTGCTTCATTAAAACAAAATATTATAGTGAGTAAGTGGCTAAACTCTCCTAAAATCAATTGTTAAGTTTCATGAGTTTTCTAAAATTATTATGTTGATAGAGATAAGATCTTTACAAGTCAATTTTGGTAATATTTATTTAAATTAAGTGGTACATAGTTGAATATCACCTATAATCATATGGAAATTTGAGATTTTATGTATACCTCAATGTTTCGAAATGTATTTGGAATGTTTCACTGGTGATAATACTAAGAATTGAGTTCAATTTTTTCCATGACCATAATATATAATGAACAATATTTAAGATACAACTTACCATAAAAATATTGGCATGCCAATATTTCTTTCATGGTCAAAATATTGGTATAATATAGGCTTGGCATGACATCATTTAAGGTTGTGTAGTTTGTGCTCTACCATTCTTATTAAGTATATTATGCATGATCATCATATTTGAATTCAAGATCTACTTATGAAGAGGGATGTTAAGTTGAAATAGAATATACACGAAGCCTAACAACACCATAAAAGGTATGTCGGTAAGAAAACGTGAAATCTAGAGTTTAGGGTGGGAGATCAAGTTTTGATCAAGCTACATCCTTGTAGGCAATACTATGTGGTCTTAAAAAAGGAATCTCAACTTGAGCATGAAATATTTTGGTCCATTCTCTATTATTGAAAAGGTTGGACAAGAAAAGTTATGCCATAGGAATCATCATCATTCCTATGTTCCACTACTTATTGCCACTAGTGAATTGTATTCAACAATGAAATTAGCTTGCATTATCCAACATCATGTGATTCTAAGAGGAAATCAACGAGTTAAGCAGTTTTTAGTGCAACAAAATAAATTGGAAATTTAAAAGCTATATATAAAAACTTTTTTTGAATTTCATAAAATAAGGTATTGTCACGAGGGAAAATAAGACAATAGATAAAGAGAGAGAATCGATGAAATATATAGAAGTAATGTGTGGGTTGATCCAAAAGACGCGGGTGCGTGTAAGAGTGTAAGGATCAAAATAACAAATTTACGTTTTAAAGAATAAGAAACTCATAATAATATATCAGTTTTTATATAACACATTCAGTTTAGTAATATATACTCTATTGAGTCATTAAATTTACATATTATAACTTACTCTCTCTAATCCTTCCTTTTCTATCTTGTCTTAAAATATTATATAATAATAATAATAATAATAATAGAATAAATGAAATTTGATAATAATAATTGTAGTAAAATAAATAATAATAATAATAATATTTTCTTTTCATAATAAATAAGTTATATTTTTAATAGTGGCATTCATATTTTATCACTTTCCCACCTCTATTCCTATTTTTTTTCACATATACTTATCTCTTCTTCCTACCTAGTTTTTTTTATATGTCAAACATAAGAATGTATTTATGGATGAATAAAACTAGCTATGATCAAATACGAATAACAAGCTCAAGAATATAATAATGCATGTATTTAATTTTTTTTTACGAATAACTTAAATTTTAATATAATAGTTATTTTATTATATTTTTACATTACTTTAATAATAATTAATCTGGTCTTTCAATTTCTCTAATTTATATTTATAATCATCACTATAATTTACTATAATTACAATAATAATTTTTATTGTTCTTTTCCTTTTAAAAATTAAACTAATTAATATTTATTATTTTATTAAAAAATATTATTTTATTAAATTTAGTTAAGCCTTATTAAATGTATATTAATAATAGGATGGATATAAATTTTTTAAGATGAATTTGGGTAATGTTATTATTTTTAACTTGATTTATTATAATTTATCTTAAAATATATTTTTGGAAATTATATATTAATAGTAAAATATTTTATTTTATAACGTGTATATAAAAAATATTTTACAATAATTATAATAAATATATCTTAATTTTAATTTTATTTATGATAATTTAAACATTAAGATATTTTTATGTTATCTTACTTAACGAAACACATGTTATGCGTACTCTTTGTTATGTTATTTTATTAAATTATAATTTTATATTTTTTTTAATTTATATTTTTTTAATTTTATATTTTTTAAGTAAGATATATGTGTCGACATTAATAAAAAAAAAAGATTCTTATATAGAGATAAATATAAAAAAATTATAGAATTAGTGGTGGCTCACGTTAGATAAAACAAGATGACGGTAAAGTAGAGATAAAGTAGAGATTAGAGAAATATCGTCTGTCTTATGATAGAAAGATGTGGTTAAAATTTTTTTATTATACAATTTACTGGTACATCATAAAAAATCATATACATCTGATAAGACGTATGTACATATAGTTTCGAGTATCGTGTTGCGTTCTGTTATGTTCTGTTCCGCAAAGGATTGGAAAAGCAGAGCAAAGCAAAGGAAGAAGCATCAGGTAATTAGCGTGCGCCTTCCTCCCATGTTGTGATCTGCACAAAATCAAATCAAATGTGTTCTGCACAAAATCAAATCAAATCAAATAATTGAGTTGGGAGTTGGTTTGAATTAGAATTAGGTTTACAAATTAGGATTAGGTTCAGGATTTGTTGGATTTGCTGTGAAGAGATGCAGATAGAGGAATCATGGGTGACGGTGGATCAATGACTAAGCGCAACAACCTTCACAACCCTCTTTCTCCTCTCCTCCAATCCTTTTACGTCATGTATTCCCTCGAATGTCGATTCCGATCGGCTTTCGATTCCTATTCCGTCGCTTGCGAGGCCTTTTCCGAACCTCACCCATCCCCTCTTTGATAATTCATCTCTTCTCTCACTCTCTCTATCTTTGCGCCCCATGGCCTCTTCCCACGTTCTCGAAAAAGACCCTAGCTCCAGATACGCCCGGGTACGTTACCTTCTTCGTATTTGTTCTTATTTATTTGTTTATTTGTTTATTTGTTTGTTTATTTGATCTACATTACCTTCTTCTTGTTCAGTATGATGAAGTTTTGGGGAAAGGAGCCTTCAAGACTGTGTATGTCCCTCTCTCTCTCTCTCTTCAACGTTTCAGTGGGGCTTTTATTGGTTTATTATTGAATAATTGATTATTGTTTGTTTGATTGTTGAATGAGGGGCAGATACAAAGCGTTTGACGAAGTGGACGGAATCGAAGTTGCGTGGAACAGGATCAGCGGGGAGGACGTTGTGCAGACTCCGCAGCAGTTGGAGAAGTTGTACTCGGAGGTTCACTTGCTCAAGAACTTGAAGCACGATAATGTCATCAAATTGTACAATTATTGGGTTGATGATACCACCGCCACTGTCAACATGATCACTGAGTTGTTCACCTCCGGGAGTTTGAGGCAGTTCAGTTTTCTTTTCTTAGATTCCTATATATAAAAATATGTTTACCCCGCTCTCTTTGTTTATAGGGTATCATTGAATTGATTGTGTGATTACAATAATCCGAATCTTGTATTTGATTTTGATCTTGTAGACGTGATTGAGATTATGTAGTTTAAAAAATATCTTCTTATTTTGAGTTTGATTGAATACAAATTCTTGCTCTGCCTCATTCATTTTTAGGGTTTGGTTGAATTGATTTTCTTGATATTCTCTCTAGTCTGATGAATGTGATTGCTTTTTTGAGACAAGTGTCTAAACTAATCTCAATCACATATTTTACAATGAGACAAGTGTCTAATTCTATTTATTTTCTCCGGTAGATGTAATTGTGATGTGTGCCAAGGGTATTTACTTTCAAAAGTGATTTTTTTAAGGTTGGAGAATGTCTGGATTGATTTGCTAAATTTGAACATTCAGGGGCTAAGCCTTTTGCTTTCTTTTTCTCATAAGTTGAGTTTATTGGATTCTCCCCATAAGCAAAGTGCTTGATTTATTTTCAGTTTGGTAAAGTTGATTTTGATGACATTATTTTCTGCTGTTAGATGTAATTGACATGGGAGCCTATGCTAATCTTAATCACTTTGCATTGAAACATGTATTTTCCCTTTGTTGGTAAATGCATGAATTGATATTTCAGAAAAAAAACAGGGGTTATGCCTATCCGCTTTCATATTTTTGTGATTATTCATGTCGGTGTTGCCTGTACAGGTACCGCAAGAAGCATAAGCATGTGGATATGAAAGCCATTAAGAACTGGGCCCGGCAGATTCTCCGTGGCTTGTGCTTTCTGCACAGTCAAACTCCTCCTATTATTCACAGGGACCTGAAATGTGACAATATTTTTGTCAATGGGAATAGTGGACTGGTGAAGATTGGAGATCTTGGATTGGCAATTGTTATGCAACAGCCTACTGCCCGTAGTGTCATCGGTAATATAATAGATTGACATGTGATTCTTTAGGGGATTTTGCTCAATGAAACCTTGTAAATTAAGCAGAAGATAATTTTTTTTAATCTTGCTTGGTGCAGGTACACCGGAGTTCATGGCCCCAGAACTTTATGAGGAGGAGTACAATGAACTAGTTGACATATATTCCTTTGGCATGTGCATCTTAGAAATGATCACCTGCGAGTACCCATATAGTGAATGTAAAAATCCAGCTCAGATATATAAGAAAGTTACCTCTGTGAGTCTGCTGCAATGGAGTTCATTAAATATTTTGTCTTTTTTTTTATCCCCCTCATTTTTTAATTCTTTATTTATGTTGCATTATCTTCTTTTTTTTTCCCCTCATTTTTTTAATTATTTCTTTATGCTGCATTATCTTTCTTTTTTTTTTTTTTAGTTATTACTCATGTTTTTTTGTTTTATTTATTTTCAGGGTATAAAGCCAGCTGCTCTTGCTAAAGTAAATGATCCTCAAGTTAAGCAATTCATAGAGAAGTGTCTAGTTCCAGCATCTGCTAGATTGTCGGCATCTGAACTACTGAAAGACCCATTCCTTGCAACTGAAAATGCAAAGGAGATCAATCATGATACACTTCAGCTACCTAATAATCCTCAAACCAAATCGGGGAATCCACCACTGTGCAAGCCTCATCCCATGGAGATAGATTCTAACTCCAGGCGTACTTCACCTGGCTCGTCTGTGGGTAGAATTGAAGAAACTTCTCTGGTTACAACTTTTGATCTTGTGAGGATGACTGAAAATAACGAATTCAGGTTAAGAGGGGAGAAAAATGCTGAAAGTACAATTTCACTTACACTGCGAATTGCAGATGCACGTGGTTAGTGATATTCGGATATGTAAATTTTTTCCCCTTTTACTGTCTGCTATATATGCTTGTTATCAATACTTAATATATGTCTGTAGGTGGAGCAAGGAATATCCATTTTCCATTCTATGTCGATTCTGATACAGCAATTTCCATTGCTGAGGAGATGGTGGAACATCTGGAACTTACAAACGAGGACGTATCTGTCATTGCGGAGCTAATACAAGACATGATTGTTAAGCTCGAGCCCACCTGTAAGCCCTTATGTGAGAACCTCTCATCTGGAACAGAGCATTTGTACGCAACTTCTTCAGAAGTTCAGAATGATGGACAATTGAGCTGCCATTGGCCATTACAATCAAGTGATTATGATATGAAGACGATGTACGAGGATCTAGTTCGCTCACGGCCTGTGGATGGAGGTGATCAGGAGAAACAAGAATCTGTTATGTCAGATATATCAGCAGAGTGTGGGATTCCGATGGCTTCAGATTCTAAAGGTGTCGAGCCTGACATTTTTATTTTTGATGAATTCTGGGAGGGGTTCGATGTAGTATTCAATTCCAATTCAGATGGCAGGTTTAGTGGGCAAGAGGATGGGCAAAAGAATCAATCAGAGAATTCAGCAGGCTCTCTAATCAATTCATGTTGCAGCCCATCCAAAAACTTTGACATGTCAAGCACAGGTTCTCTTAATCTAGTTGACAAAGATCCTTCAGACGAGCTGCAGCTGGAGCTTGAAGCAATAGAAACACAATATCAACAATGCTTTCGTGATCTTATGAAAATGAGGGAGGAAGCCATAGAAAATGCAAAAAGGAGATGGATAACAAGGAAGAAGATACCAGTTATGTGATGCCTTAGGGTGATTATGATTGTTTTTTTTTTAATATTTTTTGGCATTCGTTAACATCATTCGATTTCTGACTGCTTATACTTTACCTTGCTATTATTGTTTTTTTTTTTTTTTTTTTACGGGATATTCTTTTGTTGAGTATGGGATATTCTTTTATTGGGTATGGGATATGGCCATAGGACGTGTTATTTTCTGGATACTTTGTTGATGGTGACGAAATAGAGCTACTTATTTTTTTATTATTAATTATGGTGTGAATTTATCATATCAAATTTTGGTTGAATGCATTTAGTTGCGATATTTATTAGTTTTTATGTACATGCATGTTACGTGCTAATTTGTTGACCTTGTAGCTTCCCAAAACCACATGTCATAGGCTAATAAATATCTAGTAGAAAATGACATCTACAAAATATCTTCTGCCAAATTTTTGTCATCTTTTCTTATTTTTAAAATGTAAAAAATACATTTATTCCGAAATGAATACTAAATGATATACACCATGGAAATGTATCGAAATAACTGGAACGCCTTTGTAGTTTAATCTATCACAGACAAAATAGAACAACTCAGAAACAGGTGAAATGACCAAATAGTCTTATTTTACGTTTTTTTTTTAATATTTTGTCTTTACTGACAATTGTAGGAAAAAGTTTTAATTTTTCTTTCCAAAGGTTTTCAGTTGTTTAGTGTATTTGCCTCACCTCTTTTGTAATCTTTTCACTTATTAATTTTAGGGACTTTTTTTCATAAATAATACTATTTTAAAAAATATTTTCCAAAATAGCAAATCTGAACATTATTTACGCAACTAAGCACTTTTTACTCGTTTACGTATTAAAATAATCGATTATTTTATATTATGATCGATTATTTCGCATGATCAATTCTCGCCAGTCGAAGAAACCCTTCATTTGAGCGAGGAAATCTGTAACAAAGGGGTAATCTCGGGTCAATTCTCGCTTAAGCGAAGAAACCCTTCGCAAGCGACAGGTATTTTCACTTGAGCGAGAAGTGATTAAAATATGTGGTGACCCAAGTTGTGTTATGTGGCTAACTGCGTTGGACGTTTAGCCTGTGGTCAATTCTTGCTCAAGCGATGAGTTACTTCGCTCGAGCGAGAATTGATTGAGTAACTGCGTTGGACCGTGGTCAATTCTCGCTCAAGCAAGACATCCATCGCTTGAGCGAAAAAATTTATAATCGATTATAATTTGAACTAATCGATCATAATTTTAAAATAATCGAATATACAAAATTATGATCGATTATTTCTCTCTCGCTCAAGCGAAGAAACCCACTACAACAGAAAACACATGTAATAGTGGTTCCACGTTAACCGCTATCTAAAATATACTTTTAATAGCGGTTAGTTTTAGAACCGCTATCTAAAATCTCGGGTCAATTCTCGCTCAAGCGACGGGTACTTTCGCTTGAGCGAGAAGTGATTGAAATATGTGGTGACCCAAGTTGCATTATGTGGCTAACTGCGTTGGATGTTTAGCTCGTGGTCAATTCTCGCTCAAGCGAGAAACCCATCGCTTGAGCGAGAAACCCGCAACTATTTACAATCGTCGAGTCACCCACCCAAGTCGGGATTCCCATGTCTTTCGATGCACACAAGTAAAGAATCCAATGCTCTGAGTTACCCACCTAAGTTAGGATTCCAATCTTGGATTCCTCGCATTGGGTTAGACAAAAGCGAAGAATCCAAACATATTTAAAGAGATGTTGACCCACCCACTTTGCTTGGGTTTTGTGTGCGTCAGAAACCATGTGAGGGAGCATTGGATTCAAACCAATGGACTTCATTATAAAGAGACCACTTTCATTCTTTGAAGTTCTCACATTGCACACTCCTAAATCTCCGAAGCTTATTTGCATTATTTCTTCTTCTTACCTTTAGTCTTCTTTGTGTTCCACACTCCTAAAATGGGTGTAGTGTCTACTATTGTCCACTATGATGGTTTCATGAACCCATGTCCCATGGAGGGAGTTACCTTCAATACTGGGACTGCAAAACTTGTTCATTTAAAGAGAAGAATTTCTCTACAAAGGTTGAAGAAGTTGATCCACAAGAAATTGGAGAAAGAACCCCACGAAAATGTAGCAACCATCCATTTTCGCTGCCCAACTAGACTCGGAGTTGGGATCAACAACTTCATTGTTGTTGAGTTGAAAGATGATGACGATGTGGAGGCCATGTTCGATGTTCATGATTCAAACTCAAGTCTATGTGGTATTGAAATTTTTGTTTCATTTAAAACTTTTTCTTCTTCATACCCCAACACACACTCACCAGAAATTTCACCCTTACCCTACCAAGCTTTCCCAAACACTGACCCAGAAATACCCATACATAATGACTACATCCTTTTTACCCAACTTCTAAGTGAGCCTTCCACCAACATCAACGAAGAACTACCCACACAAGAGAACAAAATTGTTGGCCTCCCAATTGAAGTCGTTGATCCTTTTAGTGAGGATGAAGACGAAGATGAAATTCTCAGTCAACACCAAGATGATTCAGAGGATGAACAACCACATATCCTTACACATGCACCAAACTTCATGGAACCATATAACCCACCACAACATTTTCTTAACTTTGAAAATCACATTCAACAACAAGACCCAGAGTATGGTCATGCATTGGATAGAGAGTCTTTTGTTTCTCCGACAGGAACTCTATTTCTTGGACAACGTTTCATAACAAAAGAACAAGTTCAAAATGTCATCAACCGCTTTCACATTGTCAATCACTGCACATACAAGGTGAAAATTTCAAACCAAAGTAGATATGTTGTTGAATGTGTTGATAACCAATGCAATTGGAGATGTCGAGCAATATTGCGCACAAGAGAGCAATATTGGGAGATTATGAAGCTTGAAGGGCACCATACATGCGTTTCGCCATTAATCAGCCAAGACCACAACAAGTTGGGATATAAAATGATTTCCCAAACAATTGGTCAAATAATTGATGTTGATTCGTCAACACCAATCTCCACAATCATAGCCCACATCCAATTAACAACGGGTTACACTATAACATACAGGAAGGTCTGGTTGGCCAAACAAAAGGCAGTGGAGATCATCTACGACAATTGGGAGGATTCGTATAAGAAGTTGCCTTGTTTGTTACAAGCCATGCAACAATTTGTTACCGGATTCATCTACAAACTGCAGTCACAACCAGCTTACCAAGGTGAAGTTCTTCAACAAAATTCAAATATTTTTAAACGTGTGTTTTAGTCGTTTAGGTCATGCATAGATGAATTTGTTCACTGCAAGCCCATTGTTCAAGTGGACGAAACTTTTTTGTATAGAAAATATAGAGGTACCTTGTTGGTTGCAGTAGCACAAGATGGCCGCAACAACATCCTCCCCATTGCGTTTGCAGTGGTTGAAGGTGAAACAAGTGATGCCTGTTTTTTTTTCTTAAAAAACCTTCAAAGATATGTCACATCCCAGCAAGGATTATGCCTCATATCAGACCGACATGAATCCATTAGAAGTGCATACATGAGAAATGGAAGCGGCATACATGAGAAATGGAAGCGGATGGACATAAAATAATTCAATGCATGTCTACTGCATTAGACACATTGCACGAGAATTTTATGAGACGTTTCAAAAATACCGCACCGAGGAAAGATGTTGTAAATATGGGTAATTCCTTTGCTTCAAATTTGTTACAATTTATTCATTATTTAATTGTTGCTAATAAATATTTATATTAACTATGTTTTTTTAATATTGTTGTAGCGTATGGGATGACTGAACCACGATTCTACTATTATTACAACATCTTGAGGCAATGTGACATAAAAGCAGCTAATTGGTTGGATGAGATACCTAGAGAAAAATGGGCACTTGCATGGGACAATGGACGACGTTGGGGCCACATGACGACCAACATAGTAGAGTCTATCAACTCTGTTTTGAAAAAAACAAGAAATCTACCTATTTGCTCCATGGTCAACGCAACGTACACCCGCTGCAACAAATTTTTCATTGAAAGAGGGAGACAGATAAATGCCATGATCAATGCTAGTCATGTATACTCTGAAATTTTGGTCACAAATTTAAAGGAAGCACAAACACAGGCAAACACGCATAGGGTCATAACTTTTGACAGGTCTACCACAAAATTTGTAGTAGAATAAACGCAAAACCCGCGTGAAGTTCGACCAGTAGGGAAGTTTGCAGTTCACCTTGATGAGTTATGGTATGACTGTGGGAAATTCCAAAAATTTCACATGCCTTGTTCACATGTTCTTGCTGCATGCAAGCATGCACACCATGACTTCAACAACTATATTAATTCAGTGTATACCTTACAACAAGTTTCAAAGGTATACGAAACACAATTTGGGTTATTGCGAAATGAAAAATATTGGCCAACATACACAGGACCTACTTTGTGTGCAAATCCAGAAATAAAAAGAACTTCAAAGGGCCGACCAAAATCAAGTCGTATAAGAACTGAGATGGACATTACAGAAAATCAAAGTAGGATTAAAAAATGTTCATATTGTCATACCCCTGGTCATAGCAGAAGAACATGTCCCAATGTTGCACGTGCATCTACTTCGCATCATTAGATTGTGTTAGTTAAGAAATGTCTCAATGTATAAAACTTAGGAGTTTTTCAATTAATTGAAAGTGATGAAGATCTTATTGAATCGTTTGATAAAACAAAGATCTTATGGGTTTGATGAAGTCAAAGGTTATTTAAGGAACTTTTTGCTAACTGTTTTAATCGATTAAAACTTGTTGTTATCAGTTAAAATAATTTAGAAAGTTTTGTGAAAAGTTTTGAAGAAACTCATTCTGCAAGAGCCGCATAATCTGGGTTTGATTGTTCTAGTTTCTTTCTTTGTTTCTTTACATATTATGGGTATCTGAAAGCTTGAGCGAGAATTGACCACAAGCTAAATGTCCAACGCAGTTAACCACATAATGCAACTTGGGTCACCACATATTTCAATCACTTC